GTACTGGGGGCACTGGGCTGTACTGGGGGCACTGGGGGGGGCTCAGGTATCCCACAACAACGTTGCCCAGCTCCAGGAGAGATCTGGGGAGCAGTGAGGAGGTACTGGTCTGTGCTGGTCTGTCCTGGTCTGTACCCCCAATCCCCAAAGCCCCTCCCCAGCTCCCCCAGGCCCCCTCAGGTCCTTGACTTGTTCCTGCTGCCCCTTGAGCATCTGCAGCTGCTGCAGAACCAGGCATTTCTTTGCTCCCCACAGGGTCGTTCCCACCCCCAGAATGGAATCTGGAGGCAGCAGGATGTGCACAGTGCTCCCATTTCCTACAGTGCAAAGGGGCTGCAGGGAATGATTCCCCTGCTCTTGCAAATCTGCCAAAACCTGCAGGGCACAGAAGAGGGGGCTTCAGGAATTTGCTGGCCTTGGGAGTGGAGCTCACAGGGTATTGAGAGGAGCATATCCCTCAAATACAATCTCTGTGCATACACAATATCTGTCTAGACAGACAGATAAAGCACTAATCAGATATATTCTGTATCATAAATATGGCACATATTCTATAGAATCCATCCTTAGCTATTGTATGATAGATCTGTAAGATATTACAAATAATAAGCAATAATAAGGCAAGTGTCCTCCTTAGGGACACACACTCCAATCGCAGGGCACCCCTTGGATCAGCACTTGGGGATACAAACTGACCTTGGGCTCAGGATGCAGCTGCGAGCAGAGGTTTCCCTGCAAGGTCTGCAGTGAGTCAAGCTCTGGAGAGGAGATTGTGCCCCACAGATGGGATTGCAGAGGCTCCCTCAGGTCCCCAGCAGGAACCATCACTCTCTGCAAGTCCCTGCCAGGAGGGTGTAGCCAGGTGGGGGTGAGGCTCTTGTGCCAGGAAGCAGCAGTAGGACAAGAGGGCTGGGTCTTGAGCTGTGCCAGGGGAGGTTTAGGTTGGATATTGGGAAGCAATTTTTTGCCGAGAGAGTAATGAGGCCTTGGAATGGGCTGGGCAGGGAGGGTTGGAGTCAGTGTCCCTGGAGGTATTGAAGGTGAGAGTGGATGTGGCCTCAGTGCCATGGTCTGGGAAGCACGGCGGGGTTGGATCCAGGGTTGGACTTGATGATTTGGGAGGTCTTTTCCAACCCAGCTGATTGTGTGATTCTCTGATTCCCATTCCTATGGTAGCACCTGCTTGAGGCTCCATCCCCAGGGTGAGAGAGATGTCTGTCCATATATATCTGCAAGGTTGGTGTGTAAATGTGTGGTGTTAGAAAAGCAGGCTGAGTTCTGGGCTGGTTGTAGAAGGAGAAAGAAGCCCAGAGGCCAGTGCAAGCAGGCAGCCCTCAGCTTGCACATCATGTCCCCTCCCTGCAGGTTCCTGTCCTTGAGCCCAGGCCCTGAGGTGAGGCTGAGAAGTGACGCGGAGGTGAGCCCAGAGCTGTCCCTGAGGTGAGGCTGAGAATAAGTGCAAGGCAGAGGTGGAGCTGAGGAAGGAGAGCCCCGTGGTGGGGAAGAAAAGAAGCTGAGGGTGCCCATCCCCCAGCAGGTGCTGTGTCCATCCCCTGTGTGCCAGGTGAGCTGGGGCTTTGCTGCAGAGCTGCGGGCGCTGATTTGAGCAGCTCCAAGTGCTGAGATGGTGGCACCCAGGAACACAAACTGTGCCTGGCCACGGAGCCTGCAAGGAGGAGCAGAGCCAGCCCTGGCAGTGTGGGGGGCCAGGTTGTCCCTGTGCCTTCCCCTGCAGTCCCTGGCTGTCCCTGCTGGGCCCCTGTCCATCCCCATCAGGTCCCTGCCCGTCTCCCCCGGGCTGAGCTCCCCCCAGGAACTGCCGTGGAGCTGAAGCTGCTGCCATCCCCCCCTGCAGCCGCTGGCCCAGCCAAGGGAGCAGCAAAGGCAGGGCCAGGAGCAGAGGCAGCAGCAGGGGAGCCCTGGGGGGGCCGGGAAGCTCTTGTGTGGGGCAGGAAAGAGGCGCTGGGCACGAGGCTGGGGTGTGCTGAGCAGGCCCAGCCCTCACATCCCCCCAGCCAACGCCGGCTGCCCGGGGGGCTTGGGAGGGACCCCCAGCCCGTGTGCCCCACACTCAGCTGGCAGAGAGAGAGCCAAGGGACAGGGCCACGGGCAGGGCCACGGGTGAGGGACAGGCAGGGCCATTTCAGGGCCATGGTGAGGGCACAGCCTGTGGCAGCAGAGCTGCCCAGGGCCGGGGGCAGCCGGGGATGTTGGGACCAGCCCGTGCTGGGGCCGAGCAGAGCACGAGGCCTCTTGCAGAGCCCTGGAGCAGCCTCCCACTTGCCAGTTCTGCCCTGGTGGGGTGACACTGTCCACTCCCTACAGGACACTGCCCCCAAAATCTTCATGGGAGCCTTTTGTGTCTATTCCTGGTTGCTGATTGATGCTGGGGACCTGAGGGAGCCTCTGCTATCCCATCCCTGGGGCACAATCTCCTCTGCAGAGCTTGACTCACTGGGTTGGCAGCAGAGCCTCGGCAGTGGGTGGGGGGATGCGGGTCCCCCCCATGGTGGGGGTTGGTGTTGCTGGGTCAGGCCCCACCGGCTCCATTGTCAGCCCGGTGCCGGCGGGGGGGACACAGCGGGTTTGGGGCCCCCCAGGAGTGCCGGGGGTGGGTGTGGAGCCCGGGAGCTGCCGAGTGTGGAGGGTGGAGCGGGGCGATGCTGGAGCTGGGGGACCCCCGGCAGCCTGGAGGGGGGAGCACGGAGAGGGAGGAGCCCCGAGACCCCCGGAAGCCTGAAATGGGGGGGCACAGAGAAGGGGAAGCCTGGAGAGTGGAGACCCCTGGGATCCCTGGGACAACAAAGTGCAGAACCCGGAGAGGGGGAATTTCTGGGAACACGGCACCCTGAAGGTGAGAGTCAAAGGAGAAGGGACCCTTGGGACCCCCAACACTCCCAGCATCCCTAAGGGGGACCCCAGCATTCCAGACAGGGGAGACCCTCTGAACCCCAGAGGGGAGAGACCAGCGAGGGGGAACTTCTGGGAGAGTTGTTTTTTGGGCTAATCTTCATATTTGGGAGTATTTTTTAGCTGAATCTCAAAGTTTAGTAGTTTGGGGAGAAGGGGTCTTCTTGCTAATTCTGAAAGGTTTTTTACCTGCGTGTCAGTAGTTTTGGTTTTTCTGGGCTGAATCTTGGTGTTTTGGAGGTTTTTATGGTCACAGGATGCCCGGTGAGTTCTAGAGATGGACTTGGGCAGGAGGAACCCCCAAGCCAACACACTCAGCCCTTCTTTCTTCCCCATCAGGATTTGTCCTTCCCAAAGCTTGGGTGGATGAAGGAGGAGGCTGCGAGGAAGAGGAAGATGCCTTGGGCCCCCCAGGCAGGTGAGGAGGAAGTCAGTGTCCCTTTGGGCGGGTGTTGTGCTGGCTCTGGCAGCCCAGCATGGCCCCCGGCTGCAGGACAACCCCGCTGCCGCCACCGTCCTGCCGGGGCCGGAGTTGGGGGGATGTCCTTGGCCTTCCCTGTGGGCCGGAGGCAAATCCCCTCCCTGTCCTTCTTGCTTCCTGCCCCAGGCCCCGAGCTGAGGACGGAGAGTCCAGAGGACAAATCCCCCCGTGAGACCCTGGTGGGAGAGGCCGTTTTGAAGGGCTCCACGGCGCAGGAAGGCAGCGGGGAGGAAAAGGGCCGGAGATCCCCCCGCAGGAGGGGCTCCAAAGCCAGCCCAGGGTGCTCTGAGGAGGAAAGACCCAGCCTGTGCCAGGAAGGCGGCCAGAGCTTGAGGCAGAGCTCTGAGCTGGTGGAGCCTGAGCAGCCTCCCAGCAGGGAGAAGCCCTTCAGGTGCTTGGAATGTGGGAAGAGCTTCAGGTACAGCTCCAACCTGCTCCGACACCAGCACATCCACACTGGGGAGTGGCCCTACACATGTGGGGAATGTGGGAAGAGCTTCAGGCAGAGCTGCAACCTGCTCCGACACCAGCGCACCCACACTGGGGAACGGCCCTACACGTGTGGGGAATGTGGGAAGAGCTTCAGTGACAGGTCCACCCTGATCCAACACCAGTGCATCCACACTGGGGAAAATCCATACACGTGTCGGGAATGTGGGAAGATCTTCAACTTCAGGTCCAACCTCCTCACCCATCAGCGCATCCACACTGGGGAACGGCCTTACACATGTGGGGAGTGTGGGAAGAGCTTCAACCAGAGCTCCAGCCTCTGCAAACACCAGCGCTTTCACACTGGGGAACGGCCCTACAGGTGTGGAGAATGTGGGAAGAGCTTCCACCAGAGCTCCGGCCTCCGCACCCACCAGCTCATCCACACCGGGGAACGGCCCTACAAGTGCTTGGAATGTGGGAAGAGGTTTCAGACCAGCTCAGATCTCCTCATGCACCAGCGGACGCACACTGATGAGAGGCCCTTCCGCTGCACCGACTGCGGGAAGGGCTTCAACCAGAACTCCCACCTTGTTACCCACCGGCACATCCACACCGGGGAGAGGCCCTACAAGTGTGGGGAGTGTGGGAAGAGCTTCACCCACAGCTCTACCTTGACCTCACACCAGCGGACCCACCAATAAGGAAAGCCCTAAGAGTGCCCCAACTGCGGGAAGAGCTTCGGCCGCTGCTTCCACCCCAAATGAAGCCCCTGATGGTGAGGCAACCCCTGGAGTCCAGTGACTGTCAGTCCATCCCTTTTGACCACAAAGGGCCAGTCCCCTTTCCCAGGGGCAGCTTCTTCCAACAGAACCCTTCCTGGGTGTGTGTGTGGAGATTCCTGCCTTGGCTGGGAACCCCCCAAGGTCACTCCTGGAGGTTGAGAGCAGAGATCTCCCCACGAGCGTTGGTCTGGGGGAGTTCCATCCACCTCTAAGAATTATTGCTTTTGGACCAGCTTTAGTAGAATTGCTTCAACAATTGCTTTAGTGTAGAGCACTGTCTTATCTTATCCTGTACTCCTGGTAGTTTTAGTGTTTCTGTTGTGCAGTAAATAATTCTGATGAAGATCTTCTGTCTGACCATTTGTAACCCTAAATAATTAATTTCTATCAATAGATCTGATTTGCCATCATTAAAACCTGGGGGACAAAAGTGGTTCAGTCACAGCTCTGTAATTCCTCTAAACTGAAAGTGTTGGCATGATCCAAGGCTGAGATTGGATCCAGCAGCCCCCAGCACCCCACAGGAAGTTGGGAGCTCAGGGGGGCCACCCCCCTTTGCCAATCCCTCTGTGCCCCAGGACCCCCATGGGACCGTCAGACCCACCAGACCACCTCCCCTTTTCCACCCTTCTCCATGTTCCTTCCACTTTTTCATGGTCCCCTCAATCCCCAGTCCCCCCCAGGATCACTCTGAGGTCTCAACCCCCACTTTTTTCCCTCCTCTCCCACCCCTTCCACATCATCCCCCCACTCCCCAGCCCCCTCATGCTCAGTTTGGGGGTCCCACCCTCCCCTTTCCCCACTCTTCTGACCTCTGCCACCCATTTCCCATCACCCCCCAAACCTCAGTGCCCCTCCCCCTCCACTTTTGGGGGGTCCCACTCCCCTCCCACTCAGTTTGGGGTCCCACCACCCCTTTATCCCCTCTGACCCCCCTTTTCCCACCGACCTCCCCCTTCCCACCCCCCGCTCACCCGAGAGCTCCTCGCCCGCAGCCGGGGGGGCTCCCAGCACCACCAGTGCCCAGAGGAGTCCCCCCAGAAAAGGGGTTGGGTGGGGTCCTGGGTAGGCTTTGAGTGTGTTTGGGGACTTTGGGAGCTCTAAGGAGGTTTTGGGGAAGTTCCCAGCACATTTTGGGGTGAGCTGGGTGCTTTATTGAGGGGCAGGTGCCCTCCCAAAGCCCCCCCAGAGCGGGTTGACACAGGGGGACACAGGGGGGTCCCCATTCCCGATCCATCCCAGGGCCGGTTCTGCTCCCCCCAAACTTGGCTCCACCAACGGGGACCCTCCAAGCCCCTCCCCCACTGCCCCCCAATAACTGGGACTGGGAGAACTGGGAAGCTTTACTGGGATCACTGGGAGTAGCCGGGCACAGGCAGAGTGACAGCAGGGGAGGGGGGACACACGACCCCCCCAAAATCCTCGCAGGGACGGGGGGGTCCAGGCTGGGCCCGAGGCCACGGGGAGGGGCTGCGGCCGCCGCTGGCTCAGGAGCTCTGTGGGGAGAGAAAAGGGGGTGACACCGGGGTGGGGGGTTCCCGGGGGGGCACAGACGCTCTGGGGGGGACACACAACCCCCTGGGACCCCCCTCACCTTCTGGCACAGGTAGAAGCCGAGCCCCAGCGCCAGGGAGACGAAGGCCAAGAGGAAGCCCCCGGCCCCTCCTTCGGAGCAATTGCTGAGGCTGATGGAGCCCAGCAGGGCCGGAGCCACCGGCGGTGTCCGATCCCGGCAGGAAGCGGGGAGGGCCCAGTGGTGTCTGATAGAAATAAATCAAGGCAGATCTCTCTCTTTTACCTCCTGGGCAGTGACCATCAAGAGCTGTCCCTGCTTCACAGCAGAAGCTCCACACACTTCAACAAAGTCTGTGGAAGAATCTGCTCTATGAAAGTTGGCCCTGGGCTTTTATGCTTATCCAGTGATGGATCACCAGTCACATATTGCCAGGCCAGTGAGCAGCTGATCTGTCAAACTCTGCTTCCAAAAGCAGGATGTGTGTTGGAAGGTTGGGGAACCAGGCTGGGTTTGGCACAATTCAACACTAAACCAACCCCTTGGCACCAGCAGTGACTCCCCACAGAGAGCTTGCAGTGCTTGCATTCTCCCATCAGATTCCCTGGATTCCAGGAGATTCCACAGTGTCCTTGGGTTCCCTTGTCTCCCTGAGTTTTGGCAGTATCCTGGGTCCCTTTGTTCCCAGGAGGTTCCTTTGTTTCCATCAGGCCCTGCCACGTCCCAAACTCCCTTTGGTTCCATGAGATTCTGCAGGGTCACAATGTCCCCTTTATTCCATCAGGTTCTGACATGTCCCAGGGTTCCTTTGGTTCCATGGGGTTCCAGAGTGCCAAATCTCCCTGCTTCTTATACTTCCAACATTTGTGGGCCCATTCTATCCCTGTCTGGGATGCAGCACCATTGTGTTTCTGCAGGAATGGATCCATGGCCATCCTGCCACTGCGCCAGTTGAATGCTGCAGAAACGTCACTGCAGGCCCAGCACTGGATGCAGGAACAGTCTGGGAACTACAGGCCTGCTGACATTCAGCAGAGCCAGTCGGGGTCACAAAGAGCACAAGGGATTGACTGCAACCCCTGCAGTTCTCTGGCATTGCTGGGGACAAATGCATGAACTCCCAGGAGCTCTGCAGAGCCCTGACAGTGCCACTGCAATCCCAAGCTGCATTGCCCGGGTCAACACTCAGCACAGCCAAGGCCACAACCCTTCCTG